CCTGGCGAGTATGTCGGCTACGGCCTTCGTCAGCCAAATACCCGTGAGTGGGAGAAACTAGCCACATGCATGTGACAAACGGAGGAATCCACTTTGTTCCACAGTGATACCGTGAGTGAAATACCAAGAACTAGGGCAGGACGCACCTTGATTCTGAGTAACCAGAGACTGCCCAGAAAACGGGAAGGAGAAAATGATATGACGACATTTTCATCATCTAAGGCAAAAGGATTTTTGCCTTTCCGGTCGGTGCACAGTGCATTCCAGATCTAAAACAATCTGGGCCTGTGACAACAGCCCCGCAAGGATCTAGCAACGCACCCTTGAGACGAGTGAGGGGCTGAGAGACGGTCGGGAAAATGTGAGACCTTGTCTCATCTGTCGGAAGGTTTATAAACCTGATGCTTACACCCCCTTCCTCCTCCACATCAGCTTGTAGCAAGACCCGAGCCATAGAAAGGAGTCACCCCGGGTCGTCCTTCCCTCGCCATCCACATTCACAACCACCGACTCTACAGTATCCCGTTCCTATTAGGATACTCTCGATTATCCACCACTCAGGTTCCTTCCCCCGGGCCTGCTTTTCCCTGCACGCCCTGAAAGCACAGTTCATCTGAGCGACTCCGAAACCAGTATTCTGCAGCTAACATCGCTTTGCTGAAGAACAGCTTTGCTTTGGCACTATACCACAAAACTGCATCTGGAAACACACGGCAGGCAGAATTCCCGTCCCAGCTGGATGGAGATGGAGTTTTACCCCGGGGCGATGATGCAGAAAATCACAGAATACGGGTTTGTGTTTATGGAAAAACCCTCCGTCCGCAAAATACATACAAGCAAAATCTGATTGAGATTAATAATTTAATTTCAATAATACAACCTTTTTTTTTTTTGGTAGACTGCACAATTTTTTGGGATGCAAATATTCCACAGCCATCCTTGGGAGATCTTGAGAATCCAAGTCCTGTTACAGCCCAGCTAGGTCTTACAACGAAACAACCTCCAGGAAATGGCATAAAATATTTACTTAACACCAAAGTAAACAAGCCCCCACAATTACAAAAATATTCCCACATAGTTATGTTTCCATGGTAATTCTGTTCACTGTACTAAAGGAATTTTTAAAAAAGACTATGATACAAATACTTTAGTTAGTTACATTTGAGAAGTAAACACAAATTCTCCTAATCCGCATGGCTCACAGCTTTCATCGGCTAAGCAACACGTCTGAACCTCATTTCTCTGCCACCCAGCCTGAATGGAGTAAAGGGGAGACGTCCGGCTGCGGACACAGCCTACTGCGGATTGGGGGGTGGGAGGTGCGACAGGTCTGCCGCAGCTCCCCAAGGAGATTTCGGACAATTCATTATTTTCCAAGAATGATTTCAATTGCATTGGAAAGAAAGCTCTAACAAACGATTGGAGGAGTCAGACAAGAGGCTGGTTATTACTGCACAAGGATACTTTGATTATTCATTTAAAATGCATCTCAGAGACTATATCTTACAGCACGGACCAGACCCCAAACAATGTATGTACACGTTATATGGCTAGAGTGAGCACTAATGGAATAAAAAAAAGTTACCAACACTGCGCTGCTATTTAATACAGGGACGCGAGGTCAGTTCTTTAATACTACTGGCAGAACGGCGAAGCTGTGGGGTCAAAGCCCTTAAAAACATCTTTCAGAGACCCGGCGTCCTGCTGCTCGCTGTCCTGGGCAGGGCTGTTTCCTGCGAAGGGGCTGCCCGAGCCAGACTTTGCGGTCTGCTTCACCATGCCATAGACGGGGGGCACAGGGAGGTTATGGACCCCGGGCTGGGGGGCAGTCTCTTGGGCCGGAGCGGAGGTGGCGGCGGCGGTGGCGGCGGCCGCCTTGGGGCGCGGCCGGTTGTAGCTGTTGTATCTGTCCGTGGCAAGCTCGGCGCTCGCCTTCTCGCCCTCGGGCTGATCCAAAGCAGACCTGCGCACAAACAGAGGCTCCTTGGCCTTGCCAGCACCCTTGCTGGCCTCCGGGCTTTTCGACGCCGCGCTCCCCTCGCTGGGAGGCTCCGTGGCTTTGCCACCTGAACTCGGAGTCCTGGGGTCGTACAGGCTAATCCCGCTGAGCACGCTGCTTTGGCCGCTGCCTTTGCTCAGGCCCCCCGCCGTCAGCAGCCGGGGGTCGTAGGGAGCGATGGCGGGAGCCGTCTCGCTGGTGGACGTGGGCGCAGCCGTGGGCTGAGCCGGCTCCGCAGGTTTGGCGGCTCTGGCCGCCGCTGGCTCTGCTGGTTTCTGGAGCCTGGGATCGGCTGGGGCTTTGCGCATGCGAGGGTCGCTCGGCTTATCGCTCGGGCCCGGCCCTGTGCTGCCAGAGGCATTCACAGTCTTCAATATTCTTGACAGCAGCTCAAAGTCAGGGACGGGCTCCGCCTGGGCTGCTGCCCCTCGCTGCCTGGGGTCAGACAGGCCCGTAGTTTGGGGTCTGTTAAGTCGCGGGTCTAGGGCAGGGAGGGCCTGGAGAGCCGCCGGGACCGGAACAAACTCTTGCTTTGGGACAGGCAGAGGGATCAGATCCTCTGGGCTCCACAGGACCAGGCGGGCAAAGTTTGGCTTGTTCAGGATCACGTCTTTCTTTATGTGGCTGAACTGCTGCAGCTGAGACCGGGGGTCTCGCAGGGCGTGGGCTGGCAGTGGCTCTAAGGGGATATTGACCGGTTTGTCCCTCAGTGTCCTTTCTCCTTCCTCCTCCTCCGGCACCAAGATGGCCTTCTGGCTGGCAGCCGTGCTGGAATGAGGCGCCTCTGGCTTCAGGGAGGGCGCGGGAACGTGCCGGGCCAGTCGCGGGTCAGTGGGTCCTGCATCCCCAGCGCTAGCTGGGCCACCAGCGTCAGCGTTTCGAGACAGCCTCGGATCCCGGAGCACACGAGGATCGGCGGGCCGGCTGCTCCCCGCCGGCTGGGCCTTCTGCAGGCGAGGGTCAGTCACCCCGGGGGACGGGCCGACGGGGCCGCCCATTTCTCCATGGGACGGCGGGACATGGGGCCTGCTGGAACTCTGCTGCCGGAGCGTTTTCAGGATGGACGTGACGCTATTTCCACCGTCATCTTCGTCACTGGAATACCAGTTGCCTGTATCACCTGAGGACAGGGGAAGACGGTGAGCAAAGACAGCAGCGTGTGCAACTTGAGCGAGTCACCGGGGAACCGGCTCTGCGGCGAGCGGCCCCACACTGACTAGCAGCTCAGGGATGCAGGGCTAGAAAGGAGGCTCCCCAAACACTGAGCTGTGTCCGTCCGTCCCCCCCTTGGCTTTGCCCTTTCCTGGGACTTTCAGGCACCTGCATCATCCCTGTAGCAGGCTCCTGCCACGCTTCCTCTCACCCGTTTCTTCTTCCACCGCTTCCGGTGCCTTCCCAGCCCTCCCTCCGCAGGAAGGGAGCGTCCGAACAGGGGTGGGAGGGCGACTGTCCAAAGGCCCAAGGGACTGGAGTGCCCTCTGCTACCAAACCACGAGTCTGATGAGCTACCGAGTGGGGATGTGAAAGGGGCCCGTTCCAGTCAGCGGGGAGGTGGGGCAGGGGCCTCTCTCTACAGGGAGCCTGGGCCTGCTGCAGACAGGGGCAGCTCCGGCGGGGGCTGGGAGCCGGGAGCAGAGCTGCTGCAGGGGGTGGCGGTGGCCCCCAGCCCAGAATCCCGGTCTCGTCGGCTCGCTGGTGAACGAGGCAAAGCTAACGCTCAAGCAGGATTTAACATCCCTGCAGCAGCCATCTCCCCAGCGCCACATGGGGCCCAGGCTGGCACCAGGCACCAGGCTGAGCTCAGCAGCTCTCTAGCTCCCTCTTTGGGGTGAAGCTTTGTCATCTAAAGCCCGACCGTCGGTGAGGAGCTGGGGGGCGGGAGGGAGGGGGCAGGCCCATCCCACAGCGCTGCCATTTGGAAAACAGGGAGGTTGCCCCCGCCCCCCGCACACCTTCACCCTCAGCGCGAGGGGCTGGGCAAACCAGCTGTGGGACCGCACCCTCCGGTCGCTGCCAGCACAGGAATGTGGCACCCAGCATGGAAACGTGGGACCAGGCCCACAGCCCACATGGCGAGGGAAGGCAGCAGCCAACTCCAGCAGTTGGACTCTGGGAGGAAACAGGTTGGGGCTGGTCCTGCCTAGGGCAGGGGGCTGGACTCGGTGACTCCTGAGGTCTCTGCCCGCCCTGGGGTTCTAGGATTCTAGGTCAGGCCCTCCTAAGCCAGGACTGCAGGGGCTAAGGGCCATGACTCTGAACGGAGGACTCGGAGCTCCGCCACTTGCCTTCCTCGTTCTCCCGCTCCTGCCTACTGCTCTTGGCCAGTCTCCGAGCCCTCTCCTCCTCTTCCTGCTGCTTCTGCTGGATCCTCAGGTACAGGGCTCTCTGGGCAGAGGGCAGGAAGTCAGGGATGTTGGCGGACGGTTTGTGTGACCCCGGTGCGCCACCTTCACACAGGAAGTCCGGCTCCAAGGACTGGTCGGGGAAAAGGTGCTCTCCGAGAGGCTCGTCCATCTCCGCGTCGTTCCCGTAGTCCTCTGCCAGGGAAGGGACAGGGAAAGCAGTCACACGCAGCACGCGGCCCCTACTTCTATCACAACGCGGCTCAAGAAAGCAGCGGGGAGGGACGTGCGCCCATGAAACCAGCCCGTCTCCATGCTGTCTGGCGCAGCCCAGCCCCGCCGCAGCGCGCCAACTGCTCAGGGATCAAGGCGTTACCGGAACACGCGGCGCCAAACGCGGCCGAGCCAGCGTGGCATCGCCAGCCCCCCGCACACAGCCGGCGCCTGCCACTGCTGGGGACGGCTTGAGGAGGAACGTACCTGGGTTGCCCGGCAGGCCAGGGTCCATGTCCAGCCCCTCCTGATGCTGGTAGAAATCCTCGTAGAAGCCTTGTGCAGGTGGGATGGGGGGCAGCATCCCTGAGTGTGGCGAATCGTCGGGGCCGTAGGGCATCATGGGAAGCCCAGGACCCATGGGAGGCCCAGGATTCATCCCCGGGCCCATAGGCATGTCCGGGAGCATGTCCGGGTGCATGTCCGGGTGCATGTCCAGACACATGTCGGGGTGCATATCTGGGTGCATGTCGGGGTGCATGGGTCCTGGCATAGGCCCAGGTGGTCCCCCTGGCCCAGGGAAGCGGGGAGGTGGTGGACCTGGGTGCCTGGAAGAGAACACAAAGAAATGTCACTTTGAAAGGAGACCCATTGCCCTGCGAACAAGGGGGCTCACAGCAGCGCCCTCCCCAGAACCGCAGGACTGGCCCTGCCCTCGCAGTGCACCCGCTGCAGGAGCGGCCAGAGAAACCTCCCTGCGACTGCCCATCTCGCCACGTCAACAGCCAGCTCTTTCCTGCTGGCCCTGAAGCTCGGCAGAACCATCCCCTGCCCTGCGGCGGGCCGGCGTGGAACGGCAGCAGGGTGCTGCATTCACACAGACGGCCGCACCGTCCCAGCGCTCTTCCTGGGCGAGGGAGACAGGCTAACCTCGCAGCAAGCCAACGCTGGGAGCAGGGCCTTGGCTGGCCTATTTCCGATCTTACCCCACCTTAAAAGAACAGGACATGCGTGATGTGCTGCTCACACCGTTTCCGTGACACCCCCCCACTTGCAGTGAACCACATACAGGTTCCTCGTCACCCTGGACCACGTAAGGGCCCACAGAGCTTCCACGATGCATGTAGGGAGAGTTTCACTACTATGCCAACAGCACCACGGAATTCCACATACTAACTAGGCGACAAGCGGGGAGGTTCTGCGAGGCTGTGGGTGATTTGGGCTGCAACATTCCTGTAAGGTCCTCAGAGAGAAGGGGCTGGATAACGGTCAGTGGGTGGCCCCCTGTGGAGCACTGCCCCCTTGTCCGGCCGTGAGCAGCGGGAAGGGAGGGGCGTGCTTACCGCACTCCTAGTTTCTCCGCCAGCTGCCCCGTGGGCCGGACCACAATCTCAAAGAGCGAGGGGATCTTCTTATACATGTCCTGCTGCTGCTGCAGCTGCTGCGGTGACAGCGGCTCATGGAGCGGAGGTGGCATCTGTGGTGGCCCTGGTGGGGGAAGGGGGGGTGGCGGAGGAGGGGGCGGGCCGCCAGGAATCGGCCTGCCGTTGGGAGACGTTGGAGCGGGCGGTCCAGGGGGGCGCGGGGGGGTGGGCAGCAGGCCCACGCCGGGTGGAGGTTTCGGTAGCGGATTGATGCCCTGCTTCTTTAGCTCTTCCACCTCCTTCTCGTCCTCTGCGCCTGCTTCTGCGTCATCAGCCAGCATCTGAGGGAGAGAGAGAAATGAGAGCCCCGCCCGGCGAGTGGGGCGCCCTGGGGGACGAGTACACCTCTGGGACAACAGCGCAGCGTCGGGGGGCTGGAAAAGGGACAGGTGCACCGAGCCCTCTCTGCTGGCTCGACATGGGAGCAGCCAAGCGCACGGCGCTGAGTCAAACGACCAGGGTCCGGCTGGAGTCCGTGGGTTTGCACGTTCTGACACACTCGCACTCACAGCCACGGCTACTGCTTACAGTGTCCCCGAGGGGCTGACACGCGGCGGGGGTTTTCAGCGTTACACTGCAGAGCCACGGTGCTGAGCTGGCTCAGACCCAGCGGGGCAGAGTTCTGCCCACACGGGCTGTCTCCTACTGGACCTTCAACTAATGCGTTAGCAAACTGGAAGTGCCCCAAACGATGGGCTTTTCGCTCTGCAATGGCAGGCCAGGCTCCTGCGTCCCTGCTCCTGACTTCACCTCTGGGACCCCATCCTGAAAACCTCTCCCTCCCGCTGGCGAAAGTCCCACATGGGCAGCCAAAGCGCCGCTCGGAACCGGCATTCCCGCTTACCTTGTCCAGCAGCTCCCGGGTCTCGTCTGTGAGCGGCTCGTGAGAAAACATGCACTCATCCCCATTGATACAGTTCCCAGTGGTGTGGAACAGCTTACAGGGAAAGTCACGTAACGAAGCGTTAAGGAACATACGACTCCTTTGAGTCATTACCAAAATCCGTCAACGGGCAGTCAGGTTATCTTTTTCAACCACGCTGCCCCAAGGGCTCTGGCGTGGCACATTCTTACTCAGCGCGTAAAATCTCTGCTGTCCCAACAGAAAATAAAACAACTTCTCCACCGCCTGTATTTTCCTTTGCAAACACTCCTGCAAAGCCACCTACACTGTGCCGGTCTGCGGCCATGCGGCCACTCACGTCCCTGCAGCTGTCATGTGCTGCTAAAAGCCTACACACCTTAAGGGACATGCCTTACACTCCCAGGCCTACTCCTAGCCTCCCTCCATGCTGGGCCCTTCCCTTCCTTTCCGACTGAGCAGCGCAATCATTAACAACATACCACCTCTGGCATCAGAGCCAGCACCCACACAATGACTGGGCAGTTCAGATCTCAGCACAGGCTCAGGTAAGCACGGGTTACACTCAGGTAGCCCCATCCCCTCCCGCCGAGGCCGAGTCAGGCTCTTCGCAAACTCCGGCCGATGTCCGTGCACCTGCTAACTCTGCTCACAATGCGAAGGGCTTGTCTGCGACTCTCACAGCTAGCAACTGACTTTTTGCAAATGGAGACTGAGACTGAAGAACAGGAGAGGTCTGTCGACACCCCGGTTAGCCAAGCGAGGGCACCCCGCATTCTGAGAACCGGTATCTTACAGGTACTGCCGGTCGGTCATTAGCCGCCTGGTACAGGGGCCCATTTTCCCCAGTTGCACAGGGCTGCTCGTGACGGAGGTAAAGCCACCGACCTGCGACACAGTGGCCATCAGGAAAGGATATCATGCATATAAGGGCAGTTTTCAGCCCTTGCACAGTAACCGGTGATGTAAAACTTGCAGAGTTCCCGTTTCTTTGGTAGCTCGATGTCGTGGCTGAAGTTGCAATGTTCTCCCTGCACAGAAACAGCACAACATCCCCAATGTTGTAGAAACAATAGAGCATACATGCTGATGGAGGGCTATGGAAGTGATTCTCTGCTGGGGTTCTGGCCCTGAAAGCCTTGAAAACGGGTCTCTGAGTCCCACAGCTAGATCTTGTGTGGTTAAAATCGGAGAATCAGGAAGTAGAAAATAAAGCAAGCGTGCGGCTCAGATGGGTGTTTGCATGCTCGATTTTCCTTACATGCGGTATAACTCTCCTAGCACTCACCCTATGATTCTAGACTAGGGATGTAATAGCATAGTCAATTAACTGATTAGCAAAAGCTTATAGGTTAATGCTACAGACTACACACCCACCCTTGCCAGTAAATGTCTAAGCAGGCCTGCACTGGGTCCTGGACCTACCCTCGCTGCGGCTCTGCATTTAAACTGTATTAGGAGCCAGGCAGGTAGGCAGGATGGCTCAGTTCCAGCTTGTGCCAGTCCAGGAACTCAGACCCCCTTCCCCCCAGAGAGGGGCTACCCAGGGACGATAGAATAGCTGACTAACCGCTAAGAATTCACGAGGTTACTCGACTGCTCAATTAACTGATATTTCACATCCCTATTCTAGACTCTATGTTCTTTGGGGTAGGGACCAGACATGTCTCAGTCTCGTACACCCTGAATGCATTTTAGGGGCTCCAGAAACACTTAACAGGAAAGCCAAGACCAGCCATAAATAGCTCCTTACCCAGGTGCACCTGCCCTCCACAAAGTATTTGCAGATAACTTTTCCTTTCTTATCCGACTGCTGGTGGGGTTTATCATGGTCGCCGCGCCGGTAATTCCCACCTCCGTCCTGTGGGAATTGCAAAGGTACCGTTAACAAGCATGAAGAGGCAAATCTTAGCCACAGAAATAAATGAACCACCTCCCTACAATATGCATTTCAGAGTGCATGGGGAGGTCTTGCATGAAGGGAGCACCAACCTCTCTGCCTGACCGACTACAGCTAGAGAGGGAGAGAGATTTCATCAGAACCGGAAAAATCCACCCTGACTACTGAAGGGACATGAAGCCCGGGACAGGCCCGTTTTCACACCGCTGGGTAATATGCAAAGATGAAGTCTCGACTTTAGGCTTCTTTCAAGATACCTCGGAGATCCTATTTTTGATGGGCGGCCATCATCTGACTGCTAGGTCTGTGATCTACTAGCCCTGTGCTCTTGGGGAGCCAGGGAGTGACATTCAGGGAAAACCATCTCCTCCCCCCCCCTTCCCCATGGCCTCTGCTAGAATCAGACAAAGCAATGAAAAGGCCAGGGAAGACACATCTAAACTAATTAAGGAAACACCCCAGCCTCATCTGCACTGAAGACAGAACAGAGGGACATCTCATTAGCATACAGAATGGAGAGCAGCTCTTCCAAGGCAGGAACCAGAGTGAACTCTGGGATACCGAAAGCAGAGAAGCACGGCCTGATGGGAAATCTCTGCTCCAGAGGCTAACGAACCCAGGTCTGCTCACACCCAAATGAGTCGTTATCAGACCAATTCTAGTAACGATCCTACTGACATCCAAAATACTGAAACTGCCCGGTTGCACTGTGAGCTCGTTCAAGGAACATCCCCATAACCAGGGGTGACCAGTCTCTATTGTCTCGCCTCTGCTTCTCTTTGAACTTTTGTCCTATCCCTATAAACACTCCTCTCCTTGCCCAAGAAAAACTGTTCTGATCCCTGGATTTAAACTGCATCAGTTCTATTGAGACGTCAACATCTCCTGTCTGATCGTGCTGCGGGCTCTGCTCTGCTTGTCTCCTGCCCTCTGCACCCCCAGCTCCCATCACCATCTGGGAACCCCGATCAGTGCAAGCTCCACGGAGTGGTAAGATCTCTCTCTCCTTCTCTCTCTTCCCCTGTGCCCCCAACTACCTCTCTAAGCAGAGCCACCTGACCCTGCCCTCTGTAAACAGTTCTAACGTTTGTAATCAGTTTCAATTTACATTTAATATTGTAACTGTTTTCACTACTCAGAAATAAATCACTTTCATTGTTAAGCTGGTGGCTTCTCTCTCTTTCGCTCACTTTTCCACAAGGGGTGTTGTTTTGGCTTCCCCATTCGCTCTAACAACGCTTCTTGTATCCAAGCTACAGATCCCTGGAGTGCCCAAAATCCGGTGGGGTTTGCTCATCGTGTGGTTTACCAGTGAATGATTGTGGGGTGAGAGTGGGGATAGGGGGTGCTGAACCTGGGGGCTTATGAGGATGGCAGCTTGAAGTGCTGTTTAATCCAGCCCACGGAGTCCAAAGGCTCATGAGGGTGCCGTGTGGCACGGCTGTTAACCCAGCCAGCTGAATCCAGGGACAAAGGAGGGGTCAGCTTCCGGTGGGGTTTGCTCATCGTGTGGTTTACCAGTGAATGATTGTGGGGTGAGAGTGGGGATAGGGGGTGCTGAACCTGGGGGCTTATGAGGATGGCAGCTTGAAGTGCTGTTTAATCCAGCCCACGGAGTCCAAAGGCTCATGAGGGTGCCGTGTGGCACGGCTGTTAACCCAGCCAGCTGAATCCAGGGACAAAGGAGGGGTCAGCTTGCGAGTGCTGATTCCCCAGTCCTCTCAGGCGTGCTCTGGTAGTGGGGGTGAGTGTCTGGGTGTGCTAAGGTGGGAAGAACCCCGTCCTGAGGAACCTAGTTCCTGCAGGAGAGCTCCAGCGGGAGGGGGAATTGGCAACAGGGAGAATTCAGCTCCATATGAAAGCACAGTAGCACAAGCAGCACACGGATAGAATTAACCTCCCCCCAGCCCCATAAGAGTGAGCCTGATAAATGAGCATACCCCAGAGTATTGGGCAAATCTGGTAACAGGTCAGTGCCCCTGCCTGGAGACATGCCCTAATGTCCCCCTCATGTGCCTCCCTCTTTTTAGCATGACTTGGTGCCAGTCAGACAGCGGCTGAGAGCGCGTCTCATCTCAGACAGAAGCAGGCAGCGCTGCCTCCTGGCAGCAGGGAGAAAATCAATGCCCGAGGGTCAGAGATCGGGAATGTCTGGTCACCAGCCGCCTGCCCAGGAAGTGCCGTGAGGATGGCGGATGGGAAGCGGCAAGGCAAGAGGAGCCCTGTCCTTTCGGCAGGCCGGCTCTCTGCGCTGGTGCAGCGTCACTGGCTTTGCTCTGGGAGGGAGAGCAGGAGCTGGGGCGTGCCTGCTCTCGGCTCGCCCTCACGGCTGGATCTTTACTCCCGTGATGGAGGGCGAGACAGGACCCGCTTGTGGCTCAGAGCCCTGGGCAGCATGGGGTGCTGGCAGGCGGAAGCCATCACGTTTGTTTGGGGCATAGAGCGCCCACGTTTCAGAACTCAACAGGTGCACGTGAAATGATTCCTGGGGACACCTGGCTGGCGCGTCAGAGAGAAGTCCCCTGGGCTGCAGCAAGACCCCCAAGGCAGGGCTGCTTACCCCCATGTCCTCATCGTAGTAATCGTCGTCCTCGTTCGCGCCACCACCTTTCCCCATTCCGCTTCGGCTCCCACCTCGTCCTCTTCCCCTGCCCATCCCCTTGCTTCCTCTCCCTCTGGGGCCACGCCCCCGCCCCCGATTTCCACCTGAAACAGAGCAAAACAGCAACGTTGACACTTCTTCCGAACAAAACCTGACCCTCACGCCAGCCCCGGCTGGCTCCACTCTCCAGGCTGCGCAGAGCCCCATGGCGCCATCCTAGTCCCGCTGCTCTGGGCTCAGCCCCGTACCTCGCCCTCTCCCCTCTTTGCTCCTCCGGTACTGGTTCAGCTCCTTGGAATAGTCGTCGTAGTCCTCCTCCCCCATCGGCTCTTCGTTGTCCCCATACTGCAATTCAGAAAGAGCAGCACAGCATCAGGGTGCCTGCCTCTCACGAGAGGGCCCAACTCTTCCACTTCCAGAAAGGGATGTTCTCTCCCTTAACAACCCCCATTTCTGGACGTCTCAGATGAGAACTGGTGAGGCCCCACCCGGAGAGCTGCGTCCAGTTTTGGGACCTCCGCTACAGAAAGGATGTGGACAAACTGGAGAGTCGGGGGGAGAGGGGGCTGGAGCATGTGATTGATGAGGAGAGGCTGCGGGACTGGGGTTTGTTCAGTCTGCAGAAGAGAAGAGGGAGGGGGGATTTGAGAGCAGCCTTCATCTCCCTGAAGGGGGGCTCCCAAGAGGCTGGAGAGAGGCTGTTCTCAGTGGGGCAGATGGCAGAACGAGGAACCAGGGTCTTACGTTGGGGGGGGAGGTCTAGGTTGGATCTTAGGAAAAGCAGGTGGGGAAGCACTGGAATGGGATGTCTAGGGAGGTGCTGGGAGTCTCCATCCTTAAGTCCTGCTTGACACAGCCCTGGCTGGGTTGATTTAGTTGGGGCAGGTCAAGCTTTTAGTGGAGGGTTGGGCAGAATGACCTCTTGAGGCCTCCTTCAATCCTAATCTTCCTTGCTTCTATGAGATCTAGTTCAGTAACAAGCCTTACTTCCATTTCTTCCTCGTACATTTCCTCTTCCTCTTCTGGGTGCTCGCCTCTTCCTCTCCCACGGCCACCTCTGCCCATCCCTCGCCCTCGCATTCCACCTCTGCCTCCACGCCCTCGGTATCCTCGTCCTCGTCCTCGACTGCCTGTAGAGCAAGCCAACGAGCATCGTACTTAAACACTCATGACAGCCAGGTGGCACGACATCCAACGTCTGGCTGTCTTTGGAGGCGGGAGGAACACGGCCGTCTTTCACTTCCAGGGGACAATCAGCTCAGCTTATGATGGCAAACGATCTCTATGTTACTGCGTTCCTGGGAGAGCCAGCTGGGGCTTTCTAAGCCGACTCACACAACTTAGGGCATTCTCCTAAGGACCACAAACAGAAGTGCAGGCCTAACCGACAGCACAGTCAACGGCATTCCAGTAAGGGCCCCTGTTACATTCAGGTAATGAAGAATATGGAGAAGACAATACACACTGGATACAATATCTGGGCTATGGTTCTGCTTCAGGCTTTATCAACCTGTAACCAGAATCCAGTCATCTGTGGCACTTAGCCCCCCGCCCCCGTAACCACAGTATGTGAACGCATCACAATCTCACATGTGTTTATCCTCACCAGGGAGGCTAGTAGTTCCCTGTCCACTTTACAGACAGAGAATCAGAGCTAGAGAGACACAGGAACCTGACCAAGGTCATACAAGAGGTCAGTAAGGAACTGAACTCAGACCCTCTGAGCTCCAGGTTATCCCCTCTACCACGCTCCCTCAAACAGTATAATACACGTGGTTGCTCTATCACATGCCCGGTTAGTACAGACACGAGGACTCTCATCCCCTCTTTGCAGGAGCACATTCTGTGTAGTGAGCAAGTCTTAGTGCAATTTGGCTTGAAGTGGGTCAGTGCTTTTTAATATCCTAAAGCAACTTCCGGTAAAGCGGCTAAGATGTAAATGTTGTAAAGTAGCTGTGTGAATGCAGTGCAAGTCCGGCACGCAGAGTTTCCTCCTTCATGCTGGACGTGCTATGCTTCAGCATCTACTCGCCATATACTTTAGCAGGATGAAATCGGACTTGTCGTATCATCCTGACTTTGTTTTCTCTGCACATTAAGGACACACTATTCTAGACCTCACTTGTTCTTTTAAATCTATCTAGACATGAGAACGAATGTACCTTAAAGCAACAAAAAAGGGGTCTGACCTTTGCCCGCAGAGTAAAATGTGAAGAAATGGCTCTTTGGGACTCACTCTGCGGCACTAAGGGGTTATTTAGGCCCTGCCCTTGCAACTGGAGCCTCGTAAGAGACCTCTGCTCTCCCAAAGGCTCAGAGTGGGCACAACATCCAACGGCACGGGAACTGACCGTCAACCGTAATAAGCGAAGGTGTTCTGAGGTGCTGAACAGAAAAGCAGTGTGGCCTGGGAAGCAGGTTGACAATGGCAGCCATACCTCGTCCCCGGTGTGAGCCCTCCTTGGCTCTCCGGTACTGGTTCAGCTCTTTTGCGAAGTCGTCATACTCTTCTTTCCCCATGTCTTCCTCTTCCTCCCCCTCGTATTCGCCATAAGCCTCGTTCTCATAATCTTCGTACATGTTGTAATTCTTGCTCTCCATCTTGGAGTAGCTCTTCTTTGGCATGGGGGCGCTGTGAGAGGACTGATACTGCTGGTGAGGCTGAGAAAGCAGATGGACAAAGGGTCTGTAAGGAGGGATCAGGTTGGACACGCATGGTGGTGCTGAAGCCCGGTGTGGCCCCCTTTCCAGACTCGCCAAGGAAGGGAGGAAGTAGAACAATCTTTATCCCTGAGCCTCAATGCTCCATCCCCCTTGTGATTTCATTTTCTATCCACCATGCATCTGGTCCCTGGCAGCCTTTTCCCAGGGCCTCCAGACAAGCTCCTCATGGAGACTGTATATACAACGTGCTGCTGGAGGGGGTGTAATGGAGCCAGGACACACGGAAAGCTACACTCAAGCCACCTCTCTCCTTACAGCTTCTACTCTACAGGGTGAAAGCCTCGGAACAGGGAGGCCCCCCTGAAGAAGGCATCGCCAGGAGGCTTCAGTGGCCCTTGGTCCTGAAAGAAAACCAAACCTGCTTCATGCTGAGTTCCTAATAACTAGTTTAACAGCTGCATGCGGCAATGCATTGATTTGCTCCTTTTCACCTGCTCTGTGCTGGGAAGCGCTTGTGTCATGTTGACAAGGGAAGGGCAAAGGGGACATGTGACGCAAGGACTGAATTTTTTGAAGTCATGGAAAAAACAACTGAGACACAGAAGAGACTTCAGCCCCTGCATGGAGCCAGACAAGTCTCAGGGTGCAAAGCCCACAACTCAGTGCAGGAGAGAGCAGCTTTTCTACAAGCGTCTGATCGCACATACTTACAGGAGGGTAAGGAGGGCTGTAGTCCCTGTACTTCCGGTGCCCCTTCTCACTGGGGCTGAAGTCTGAGTCATCGCTGTAGTCAGAGAAGTCGTCACTGGAAGACGCATGGCGCTGCACGGCAAGGCAAACACATTTTAGTACAGGGGCTCTTACACGCTAAGCTTGAATTCCAACTTTGTGGCCAGGCATCTGGCCTGTCACACACAATAGAAACGAGTCTTTCCTAAGGTAACTCAGATTCCGGCTTGACAGCATCCCTTGAATTGACGACTGATAATGCGAGAGGCTTCGAGTGTATTTCAAAACTTCAATGTAGATTCTACCCAAGCTGGGAACGTTACCAGTTTGTTTCGTCTGTTTCTAATGAAAGCAGATCATATTGCACCCTGTGTTCGCTGAGAGCTCTCAAACAGCTTTGACTGCACAAGCCAGATATTTTAATTGGCCACATACTAGTCTCAGGTGCAGAGACTTAGTTTCCCAAATGAAACCGTTTTTCCTTTCCATTGCACCCACTGATCTATGCCAACAGAAAAAGGAGAGAGAAGCCTTACTAGGGTACCTTTTGCCTCCCCACCATTTGTTTACTGTTACCCCCCTGACGGGAAGCACGTATTCCATTACAGATGTGGTTCAAGGCACCACACAGTGCCATAACGATAAACTCCATCCTTCTGGCAAGGCCCAATGCAGGGAGACTACAGCTCACATGTTCTCTACAAGGTATGTAAACACAGCCATTGCACTCACTGGACATGTAGGATAGTGACAGGTGAGCCGTGCTACCACTCCCGGCAGGACTAGAAGGACCCGGAGGTTTGTTTACTTACTTTGTGCTTGGATTTCCTTTTCTTTTTCGCTCTTCTTTTCTCTTTCTCCCTCTCCCTCTCTTTCCTCCTCTTGCGTTTCATCCGCCGATGAGCTTTTTCTTCATCCGAGTCACTGTGGTGCTTCTCTCCCTTCTCTTTCCGGCCCCTCTCGTGCGATTCAGAGGCATTTTGGGGCTCCTCTCCCCCATCGTCCTCCAGCTCTCCTTCTTCCAGCTCCCCATCCTCCCTGCAAAGCAAACACCCACATTGGCATTTCACTCTGACGAAATCACACCTGGCACTCAAGCCAGCTGGACGTCTTGGGGTTTTCTAACCTAAAAGGTGACACTAGCCCCAAATGGTCCGAGACATCTGTGACAACTGACTTTGTTATCAATCTGTGTCGCGTTACAAAACACAGGCATTTTGGAAAAACCCCTTTCAGTAGAAAGAAACATACAAGCAGAGCCTGTTCCAATGAGGGATGGAAAATCCCATGTAATTAGTTAACTGGTTAACTGGAATGTTTAACCAGCTACCTGATTAAACGGGGGCGGGGGTGGGGGGACCGCTCCAGCCCAGCCAGGGGGGCTGGAGCAGCCCTTGCTGCTCCAGCCCCCAGAGGGCAGATGGTTAACCAGTTTCATCCCTAATTCAAATCTCACTCACTCACACTCTCTCCCCTCACCAGGCCCCTACCTGCACCACACACTGCTCAGAAAAGCAGCTGCGGGGCCATTTCTCTATCAAAACTGTGAGCCCGGAGGGAAGGGGGGAAGGCTTCAGGCACTGCCCCCGGCCCCAGCACAATCCCATTGGCCGGCTTCTGGCCAGAAACTGGCCAATGGGAGCTGCCTGTTTGAACAACAGGCAGCACACAAAGCACCATGCCCCCCTCCCCTCCGGCTCAGTTATTCACATAAGCACACGGCCTTGCAGCCTGTGCAGGTGTGGGGCAGGCAGGCTGAGAAACGGGTTAAGCTCTGCAAGCATTTAGCTCTGCAGGCAGGCAGGTTGGGCTGCAGGCTGGTAAGTCTCCTGGCCAGAGCCAGCCTCTGGCATCCCAGCTCCTCCCTTCCCCAACCACTCAAAATATCCAAAACCTCTGACCCCATGCCCCCTCCCAGATCTGGCACCCCAACCCCCTGCCCCAGATCATAATCCCCTCCTACCCTGGGTTACAACCCAAACTCCTGCACCCTAGTCCCCTGCCCTAGATCACAACTGTTTCCTTCACCCAAACTTCCTCCCAGACCCCACTCTCCCTCCTGCACCACAATCCCTTACCCCAAGCTCCCTTCTGCACCCAACCACCACCCCAGACCCTGCACCTCCTCCATTAATATCATGGAAGAGTGCAGCCCTCAACCACTTTCCCAAATCTTGGAGTGGCCCCCGTCAAAAATTATTGCCCACCTTGCTCTATACACACAACTACGCCTCAAACCACAGTCCCCAGTTAAATACAGAGAAGAGAGACCGCTGCTATTTAACTGATTACATCGATGCTGATTTTTAAAAAGTGGACGCCTATAAATCTACTGAGCACATGGTAGCAGAGATTGCAAAATTACCGCTTCAAATATTAGAGAGCATTATCACAAATTCAATAGCAGTCTTAGAGTTAAAGGGCCATATGCAATATGCAAGCTATTTGGTCCTCCTGAAGATAAAAATAAAACAAATGATAACTGAATCCCCATTGTTCCTGTTTTCCTTCCTAATTATTACATTCGATCCAGCAAATCACATACTGTAGAAGCATCTAGCTCTTCTTCAGGGAGATGTAAACAGGCGACTTCTTACGATCTAAAAAAATGTTTGTGTGTAAATTAAAAAAATCAATCAAAAAACTTAATCTATAATTAGCTTGACTTTGGCTTGGAAAGAATAGCTGTTTGAGCACTCATTTTCAAGTAAGAATGCTGCCTGAAGAAAATGTAATTGATCTCTTAATTTTGGATTTACTTATCAAGGTTCACACATAACTACAGTCATCAGGAGATAAAACAAACTCAGGCCTGAAATTTTCTGAGAGGATTTTCTAGTCACATTCAGTTAAGAATTACTGGGGTTTGGGTAAGCAAAGCTTTCTCCAAGTTCACAACAGATCAAATTTACAAAGCAAGTACAGGGGCAAGTAGTTCCCGAATTGTCTTTTAGTATCGCTCACCCCTTCCCAAATCCTACGAATTCTCATGTTCTTAATCCTGCTCTGATCTTCCATTTTTTCTATGCTCTGACACAAGCAATAGATAATTATACTGTTCAATTCTGTATTTAAAATGGTTCTGAGTAAGACGAATGGACGGAGTATTATCTCTGAGTCTGGAGAACAGGGTACATATGCCACCAATTTAAGGGCAACCCTTCCCTCAAATGTCTTAGTAACGGGGGTACTGCAATGAAGCGAAACTTTCCTTCTAACGCCTCCCTTCCTGGCAACTCTGTATGGGCTACAGGACCTGGTGGCAAAGCCGTCCCTGTAGACATCTGGGAAGGCACTGTCCCTACCTGATGAGAGTACAGTCTAAAACCCGTTACAAGCTCTCCTCCTCCCTCTTTGATAAAGGCAAAGCACAACAATAACAGTGGCATTGCTTAGGAGCTTCAGGGGGTAGCCGAGTTAGTCTGTTACAGAAAAAAACAACAAATGGTCCGGTAGCACTTTATAGACTAACAAAAGAATTCAAACGGAAGGAGCATTTAGAACATTAATCTTTGGTCTCTACAGGAGCGTCTCCCATTAACTGCACTGCTGTTGAAAGATGCTAAGATTGACAGCCCTGGAAACTGAAACCAAAACCATGCCTTTAGTTGCAGGTTAGGATCAGCAGCAACTGTGCAAAACTCCTCTCTCCCCACTGTTCCCTGCTAATGTGCTTCAGCCTTTCCACCTAGAGATGAGACCAGTCATTCAACCTCCCTTGCTGAGACTGCAAGCATGGAGCCAGGTCTGTTTGTAGCTCGGGGATTGCTTTATCTGGATTTCACAAAGGGTAAAAGGGCATCTGACCTGTCACACACAGGCCTGGCCTGGCCGACTCTGGATGCCCTTGGAAATCTCTACATTACATAAGTGAACAGACTAATCAATACCCCCAGATTATATCAAGTAACCCGGTCATTATGTGAATAGCAATTGATCCCCATGCTAGCATGCCCCATCACCACAAGCCCTGCTCAACACCAGCCTCCCTGGGGGGGGGGGGGGAGGGAGAAGGGGACCCACAGAAAGGAACTGTAATACATCCCTAGGTTAATATGGACTGGGGAAAATGCGAGTTCCCAAGGCCTTAATAAAAACCCCCTGTAGTCTGTACTGATGGAACTCCAGCTCAGATGCCTCTCTTGGCCTGTGACAGAGTCATGGGGCAGATGCATCTCGTAGACAGGGAGATCTTAGACTAGTTACAGCCCTATACGTCAAAACTAAAGTCTTAAAATCAACCCAAAATTCAGCATGCAGCTAGGGTAGGTCACGCAGCACAGCTCTTGCGTGCTCCCAGAAATAAACACTGATTAACAAGCAAGCCAGCCAATTCCACAGCAGCTGTGGTTTCCCAACAGATTTAAGAAGCATCCGCACCACGGCGGCAGACAAATTTCGAAGGCAGACAAAACAGCGGCAGTCTGCATCTGAAAGGAACCCGCACCACTTCCTCGTGACCAGTTGATGGAAAAAGGCCCAAACGGTTCTAGCTGCTACTTGATCTTCTAACAGCAAGTGGGGGTGTCTCACCCCCAGACTGGTGACACAGCAGAGCAACCAAAGGCGCACACACATCTTGAAGGGACAGAAATAATCCTTTCCGTCTCCTCTGGTAAATTCAGAAATCTGACCAACAACATCCCAGCCTTGTCTAAGCTGAGTCTCAGCCAGGTAGCCCCCATCCACAATCCAGTGTCTCCCAGACAGTGAGTAATGCAGTTAACACATCTGAAGTTATTTTGAACGGACTAAAACCCTGCAAACTCAGAACAGTTAAGAGAACGTTTGGTCATCATCCGCCTGGACTGGATGGAAACCAGCTCCAATCCCTCAGAGATCAAACACTCTGGATCCTACTCGGCTCCAAAGTTCCAGCCCGTTTCGGTTTGCATTTGCGAGGTGTTAACAGCGGGCTGGTTATTTTCAGGCTTGCTGCTGTACTATCTCTCTACTGCACCACAACCACAATCCCTGCAAGCATGTCCAATTTGAAAGGTAAGCACCAGCAGACTAAACGTCAACCAGTCAAATGATAAATGTATTAAGTTGATAAGAAAACAAGTAAAATAACTGTAATTTCCCCTTCCAGTGGCCATTTCCCTTCATCTCTGCAATTACCTCTGCCACTTCGGAATTAGGGAGGATAAATATTAGGGAGGTTGAATAGTCAAGTAACCTCATGAATTCTTATTGGTTAGTTGACTATTCTAAGGTCCCCAGAGGCGGGGCTGACAGCCAGTGCGCTCTGGACCCGCTCCCGAGGAGCCCCCTGCCACTCTGCGCGGGGTGCCAGGCGGGAGCTGGTCCACGAGGAGAGCCACTTTAAAAACCAGCTCCCCTTGGGGTAGCAGGGGAAGGAAATTTATGCAGTCTATAGCATTAACCTATAAGCTTTTGCTTATCAGATAACTGGTGAATTGACTACACGATTGCATCCCTACTCGGAATCTAAAATAAGGCTTCAGCACAATACCGGGTGTCCAACAGCCCTTTCTCCAGCCCCCAACAAACTGTGATTTGCTACTACAGGTTCAACCTCTCTAGTCCGGCACGATTTTAGTTAGCTGCATGTCTACTTACTGTGGGCAGTCCTGTAGCACCTAAAAGACTAACAAAAATATATAATATCATCTTTCGTGGGTAAAACCATCTGATGAAGTAGGGTTTACCCACAAAAGCTTATGATACTATATATTTTTGTTAGTCTCTAAGGTGCCATAGGACCACTCATTGTTTCTAAAGTTACAAATAACATGGCTACCCCTCTGAGACCACTTACCAAGTTTCCCATGGTCCCATAAAGTTTGTTTACAGCCATCAGTCCTGGTTCTCAGTGTTCTGTGCTATTATTTAGCTCTGATTTACCCCTAAATATTTTCTCAGAGCCCAGGAAGCAGTGACAGGGCTGGTAATGCTGCTAGATACTACTGATCTCCTGTGGTTCGGCAAATTCTCACCACACAGGTCCTGAGGGTACCAGACTAGAGAGGTTCAACCTGTAGTTTAAAACAAAAGCCCTCTAAGGTCACCATATC